CCTTCCTTTGGATACCTTATCACGTCAGCCTTATAGCCAGTGTCTTGACGTACTGTGTCATTCAGTCTGACATGAGGAACATTATTTTCGCATTCTGGCCGTGTACAAAACGTCGTTCGGTTTCGTCCCAGGTCTGAATATTCCAGCACGGTTCTCGATAAGTCTACGTTAGAGCAGCCTGGTGACCTTCGCATTAATGATCACATGACGAGGACTCGCAGTTTCGAGGACGAGTGCGGTTGAACAGACGCTTATCAGTTGCAGATACATGTTCTGAGGCCACACCCTCAAGGTGCATTCCGTCGGGAAAAAGACGGCTAGGAACTAAGCGTCGCTTTAGGTAAGAGATTTAACCAATGGAGGAGGACAGAAGGTTTGCGGCGTCGTTGCCGTAAGCCAAAATATACGCAAAGTATTTGATGATCCTTAACACTTCATTAAAATATTTCAATTATTTTTCGCCGTAGGTGTTGTATATATGTGCTCATTAGCCACACCTATAACATAAGTGATTTTCATCCTTGAGATCTTGAAATTTTCCACACCAAAGTCCGATCAGCCACCATCTATGGTTCGAACGCTACCCGGCAATAGTCGTCATATCAATCGACAGTTCTCTTCCATCGTGCTTCCCTCGCGGAATGTCTGAGAAACATCGCCACTAACCTAGTTGTACCTTAACCTAGTGGATCGACTGGTTGCGGGGCGAAGACGAACTCCCATCCCTCAGTTTTATTCGACAATTGATTTGCTGGAACCAATAAATGATAACTCATGTTTGTATGATTCAGAATCCGCTTCGATACCAGAAAAACTGCTAGGAGAAAACGGCAAAAGCAAAGGCATGGGTACGTCTGTTCACAGCCATCAATCAAGAAATACTACACATAGATGGGGCCATGCAAAAATTCCTATAGGCATCCCATGTCCAACTGGTGACATCGCCGTTTTAATTATAGCGGTAAATATAGCAGGCTGACTTCAGCAATGTTATGAAACGGTTCATGAAATATGGACATGTTACACAATGACAGTGGGAACAAAGATTGTCCTCTTGAAGAAAGCCATGTTGCATGTGCTGATTCATATTTTTAAAATTATGAAAATGACGTTGAAATCGTCTGACAAAGCTGCAGACGAAGTATCTTTAACGTGCCGATGATTCAGACAGCCAACGAGAAAACAAGCCCTGTACATCTGCAGAATGGCAATCAACTGGAAGGGCTCAAATACCTGTTGATTTTTCCTTGATTTTATAAGAAGACTCTAAAAGACAATACAACGCTGCCAGAAACTCGATTTTTCACAACTTGTCATTTCATCAAAGATGTGCTGAACAATAATGCCACGAAGATATATATATAACTATAAATAAATGTTTAATAGAATAAAACTGTTCAACCGTGGAGACGCTGTTTGCATCAATATATCAGTAGTACCATTTCCGAAACGGAAACTTTTTTTATTTGCCCATTCTTTCTTGAATTTTTCCTTTCATTCATTCACATTCATTCGCTTCTTCGTTAATTACTTTGCTAGTATACTCGTT